CACATCACTCCCTGCACACGACGGCGCGCATGGAATAGCGGGTACCAGCTTCAATACCAATGCAATCAGACTCGCTTTCTTTCACACTCACATGCATGCAAACAGGTGCACAGCAAGCTGGCGACAAGCGCCCACACAAAACTCAGAGATATGGTCGCCGAAACACCGTCCAGATACAAGTTCACTTTCGATGGCTATGGCGACTCAGCGCCCAAACAACTCTCTGTTCGCATACACCGGATCACCCTGGATATCCCACACGCGTTACTCTGCACTCACACACACTCGCACACTGAACTCAGCTATGGCGGCAGTAGCCGCTACTATCCTATCGCTATGCTACGTCGTTCTCTCTCACCCACTTCGTCCTTCGGGCTCACTGCAGACCTCCTTGCACAAGTCGTTGTGGCAGCGCTTCCGCATGGCTCACGCAGGAATCAATGAATGGCTGGGCGCTGCCTCTTGATTTATACTTCTGAAGCTCGTTGGTCTGCCCCGTTCCATCTGCCCATGGTGCACACAGTCCCTCATGGTACTTGCTGGACTGGACTGGGACTGATTGGACTGCACCGCTCACTGCTTGGGGACTCACTGCCGACCTATTGAGGTTGTACTGCGATCGTACTGCAGTTTGTCCACCACTTGGCTCACCACTTGACCACTTGCCCACTTGCCGACCTTCTAGAAGACTACAGCTAAGACTTCTAGACTTCACTAAGACTCCTATTTGACAGACCTACAAATCGAACCCCTACCACCTTGACTTAGGACAGCCTACCAACTGCTTAGGAATACACAGGTCACAGGTTCAACTCTCGGGGTCTACACAAGTACTATACATGAGTAGGGTAAGGTCTAGGGATCGAGCCCTTGGATCTGCATCTGCTACTGCAAAGAGGTTGAAACCGGTTCACATCCCACTGCGCTCGCTGAAATCTGTCGGATTCCGCATTAAAACTTGCAAAGTCTGGATGTTTTTTTTGGTTGGGGGACGGGGGGGGGGGGGGGGGGGGGGGGGGGGGTATAGCTCTGACTCAACGTGGAGGGAAGCAGAGGAGGAGGAGGAGGAGGAGGAGGAGAGGAGGAGGAGGAGGAAACGGAGAAGAAGAAGAAGAAGTAGAAGAAGAAGAAGAAGTAGAAGAAGAAGAAGAATCTGACACCGAAGATGAAAAAAAAAGAAAAAATCCCTATGGCTATGGCTCTGCCTCAGCGCCGAGGGAAGTAGAGGAGGAGGAGGAGGAGGAGGAGGAGGAGGACAGGACGAAAAAGAAGAATAAGAAGAAGAAGAAGAGGAGGAGGAGAAGGAGGAGGAGGAGGAGGAGAAGAAGAAGAAGAAGAAGAATCTGATGAAAGATGAAAAAACAAAAACAAATTGCTATGGCTATGGCTATGGCTTAACGGGGAGCGAAGCGGAGGAGGAGGAGGAGGAGGAGAATAAGAAGAGGACGAGGAGGAGGGAAAAAGATGAAGAAGAAGAGGACGAGGAGGAGAACAAGAAGAAGAGGAGGAGGAAAAAAAATGATGAGGACGAGCACAAGGAGGAGGAGGAGGAGGAGGAGGAGGAGAAGAAGAAGAAGAAGAAGAAGAAGAAGAATCTGATGAAAGATGAAAAAACAAAAACAAATCGCTATGGCTATGGCTCTGGCTTAACGGGGAGCGAAGCGGAGGAGGAGGAAGAGGAGGAGGAGAATAAGAAGAGGACGAGGAGGAGGGAAAAAGATGAAGAAGAAGAGGACGAGGAGGAGGGAAAAAGATGAAGAAGAAGAGGACGAGGAGGAGAACAAGAAGAAGAGGAGGAGGAGGGAAAAAAATGGTGAGGACGAGCACAAGGAGGAGGACGAGATGATGATGATGATGATGAGGAGGAGGAGGAGGAGGAGGAGGAGAAGGAGGAGGAGGAGGAGAAGAAGAAGAAGAAGAAGAAGAAGAACGTCAAGAGAAAAAAAAAGAAAAAAAAACTAAACTGTCGGACCTACCTTCGCGGCTATGGGGAGTGGTTGCAATGAAGCGGGCTGGTGAGGAGAAGCAGCTGCAGGGCTATGTTGATGGCGGGCTGGAGACAGGGCGCTGGCACTGGTTATGTTGTCGCAGCACATGACGTTGAAATGGATGCTGAATGGTGCGACGTCAATGTAGCGTGTTGCTGCACAGGACTGGGGCAGGCAGGGCGAAGGCAGGCGAAAGCAGGCCACGAGGAGATTTGAAAACGCGACCGATTTCAGGCGCAGATTCGAGGATCTGCGGTCGAAATCGACCACGTTTTCAAATTCGAAAACGGGGGCCTACTGTACCCCGTTCTTTTCAGAAAACACGCGGCTGATCTTTACTGTCGATCTGCACCGATCGGCGGCAGAAAACGGGGTCCGGTAGGCCCCGGTTTTCTTCCAAAGTGATGGTGGCGGTCTCCCAGAGGTTGGACGGGGATGGGGATGCCCGAAAATCCCCATTACCCCCCCCAAAACGCAGTGCGCCCGATTGAACCGGGGGCCTACCTGGCTGGTGAACCGCCCGGTCCGACCGGCAGGCACCCGGTCGGTCGAAGGTCCCAAGATCCATCCGAGGACCAGCACTGGTTTAAAAGGGGGTGCCTTAGTGTGATTCTGTTATTTTCTTTGTTATCTCCGATTCTGTGAAGAATTTTAATGTGACCCTCTGCAATGAACCCAGATCGTGAAGACACTTGTCAACAATGCAATCCCAGATAAATATCAACCTGCTGATGATTACCAATAATCATAATCGTGTCCAGATAGAAGGAGATGGGAGAATCATACACAAACGAAGGAGAAGGGAGGGAGATTAGACAAAAAAGAGGAACAAGACGAATGCCCACTTCTCCTTCGGGCTCCCTTCTCGATCACCACCTCAAATAATCAATAGTTTGAACGCACATCTAAAGTTCTATTACAATGTGCCACGTGGCACGTCGATCAGTCCTTCATCAGCGTACTGGAGCAATGTCGACTTCAAGATAACCAGGTACGTGTCCACAATCATCCCACATTCATGATCTCCTCTCGAGTGATGATGAATCAGAACAGCAGTGCCGGTTACATAGCCCAGCCACGTCAGCAACAGTACACGTGGCAGCAGCCACGTCAACAGCGACGCGTGGCAGCTGCCACGTCAGCATGCCCGGAAGACAATAGCCAGCCAGCCACCATGCTGGGCCAGCAGCGCGTCACCGTAGTCACACAAGTGCCAGCACAAAGCCAGTGTCCAACCAGCATCGCATCGTCAACGCGTGAAGTCGGCATTGACGCAAGACTGAATGAATGTCAAAGTCAGGAAGTCGGCGCTTAAGTTACGTTGACGTGGGGTCTGGACCCCGGATGCTGCATCCTTCAGCCATCCAGATCTCAATGCAAATGTCGGCCCAGATTGACCTGAAACGGAATTCTTTTGGCCTCAATGCTGTCTGGGTACCTGCGCACAACAAGTAAGTGTACCCGACCAAGGGCCTGGGCGCGGTACCTTTGACCTAACACATGGGCAGTGTGCGGTCACACTGCCTGCCGCAGGCCGAGTTTGGCCTGCGTCGTTTGGGCTCCGTTTCGAGTTTGGTTACTGCATTCCTGCCGACCCATTTCCAAGTTCCATCGCAGAAATAACTAAGACTTCCCAGGGTCCTGCCGACCCACGTTCATATGCAGATACAATATCAGGAGCAGTTTCAAGTAATTCTCGTTTACTGAACCATCTGTCCTCAGATGGTGCCTGAGATTTGAAACGTACCTTGAACTGCTTTTGGGGTCGTCCACATCCACCTGTAGAAAAGTGCCCATTCTATGATTCTGTCTACCTCATATCCGTCGTCCATGTCTGGCGGAATCATAGAAGGTTTGTGTGGGAACTCATTTCCTTCTACGTAGGGTAACAATTTGGACGCGTGAAAGACAAAATACGTTTTGAGGTGAGGGGGAATATTAATGCGATAAGAAGGTCCCTCTGCATCCCCAATTACTTTGAGAACTTCCCAGGATCCGAAATAGACGGGCAGAAGTTTCTGAGACATTTTTCTTCCAACGAAAACTCTTTGGACTTGACCCAGACTAGATCACCTTCCTTGAATGTTGAGGGTCTGCGATGTTTGTTAGCTTGTTCAATCATTTGGTCCTGAGCTTTCTTCAGATTGTCCTTTACTTTCTTAACGTCTTCTTGAAACAATACTGCGTACTTCCGGGTCCGTGGAGGTAACCTAAGGAACTGGTCTCGTGTTAACACATCAATGGGACGCTTAGGTTTCCACTCCTTGTGCAGTTCATCAGACTTACGCCCTATAGCGGTATGAACACTACTATTGTATGCACTTGCTATCTTGGGTAAGTTCTCGTCCCAATCAATCTGATCAGGTCTCACATACATGCGCAAAAGTTGCTGGCACAAACGGTTCATCTGCTCACTTTATCCATTTGTTTCAGGGTGTCGCGCTGACGACATGGTCACTCGTGTACCGTATGCTTGCTTGCATAAGCTTTTGCCATGGCATACTTGTGAACCTCACATCGCGATCATACACAATGGAGAGGGGAAATCCGTATTCAGTCACCCATCGCATCTGAAATTTTTCGATTACAAGTTATGTCCGTGCCTCTGCGGGTAAGGGAATGAACATGGCATATTAAGAGAAACGATCCACAATAACCATTACTTGACTAAGACTCATAAAATCAATCGAAATGGTCTCACCTGGTTCACTTGGAATCGATAATGGTTTTTGAAAACCAAGTGGATTCTCATATGAAGGTTTGTTTCTTTGGCATACCAGACATGTACGAACATAAGTTAATATGTCTTCTTTCAGTCCCTTCCACTCAAAACCTCTGCGTAAGTTTTCTCGAAACCAAAATGTCCTTCAAAGTCGTGACATTCCCCAATTATCAGACTCTTATTTTCCTCCTGATGAGGAATACACAATCTTTGTTCAGTTTGGTCTATTAAGAAAAGCAAACCATCGGTTATTCTATAGTTGGGAAGTAAAGATGGATCCTTCGCAAGGACATTCATGATAGGCTTCCAAATAGGATCAGTAACATATCCTTTACGAATTATGTCGTTTAGGTCATTCCCAACATCCAAGTAAAAGACAATAGTATCAAAGAAATCACATCATCTGGACAATGCATCTGCAACAACATTAGACTTACCCTTGATAGTTTTCAGTTCAAAATCAAAAGTATCAAGGAAAGCAGACCATCGTACCAGCTTATCAGAGAGTTTAGGTTGTGTTTTTATCCACTTCAGGGCCGAGTGGTTTGAGTATACAATGAAATGCCTCCCTAACAAGTAGTGTTTCTATGTGTTCAGTGCGCAGACTAGTGCATTCAGCTCCCTTTCATAGGTGGAGTTGGCGACCTTTTCCGACGGCAGTCGGGCAGACATGAACTCCACGGGTCTATTCCCATTGCCATTATTCTGTTGGAGTATTGCGCCAATTCCGTAATGACTTGCATCAGTAGTGACGATGAAAGGAAGAGATGGATCAACAATTTTTAGAACGGGATAGTGAGTTAGTGCATATTTCAGTTTGTTAAAAGAAATCTTACAGTCTTTGTTCCACAACCATGTAGTTTCTTTCTTTAACAATCTTCTCATTGGTGCGGCGATCAGTGAGAAGTTTCTAACAAACTTTTTATAATAGCTTGCCAAACCAAGGAAAGATCTTAGTTCAGTTATCGACTTAGGTCGTGGTCAATCTCTAATTGTTGATATCTTCTTTGCCTCTGGCCTTAGGCCATCTTCGTTTATTGTATGTCCTAAGTATAAGACTTCGGACTTAGCAAACTCAGACTTTTTTGGGTTTAACTTAAAGTTTCCCTCACGCAACTTTCCCAGTACAAGACGTAAGTGTTTTTCATGTTTTTCTAGTGTCTTACTACACATTAGAATCTCATCGAGATAGACAATGACGAATTGATCCAACCATTGATGAAACAATTCATTCATGGACCTTTGAAAGGTCGCTGGGGCGTTTGTCAATCCGAAAGGCATAACCACGTACTCGTAATGACCATACCTTGTTCGGAATGCAGTTTTGTGTTGATCTGCGGGGTCCACCTCGATCTAATGGTACCCAGACTTCAGATCAATCTTACTGAAAAACTTGCAGCCCTGCAATTGGTCCAACAAGTCGTCAATACGTGGAAGAGGTTGAACATTCTTAACAGTGACGACGTTCAACCCTCTGTAATCAATGCAAAGACGTAACTCACCGTCCTTCTTGGGCACAAATAGAACAGAGGCACCACCGTTTTTTAAGTTTCTCAAGTTCCCTAGGAAACATTCGGTAGATAGGGCCCTTGGGAATCTTACTACCAGGAATAATTTCGATTGTGTGCTTGATACAACATTCAGTTATTCTTGTTGGTTTAGTGTGCGGATCTTTATACTCTAGGAGTTTTTCAATCAAAGGAGGATAGGAAGTAGAGCATTCCCCTACTTTCTTTACCAAAACCATCATTACTTTCTGTTTCAACTTTTTCTTTGAAACCATTGATCGAAAAGTTGGGTAACTTGTACAACAAAAAGACAGATTAGAGTCACAACCAGACTTATGATGAAGTTTGATTGGTTTCAACCGCAATTGCACTGTCTTTTCTTTGAACTTAATTTTTGGGTTGGCTTCCTCGTGCCAATCTATTCCCAGAATCAGATCAAATGGTAAGTTTTTTTCCACAAGAAAGGATACCTCGTGAAAAATCTTCTTTCTTTCCTTGGTGCGAAATCGAGACTTGACACGATCAACACACTGCGAGATAGTGATCATGCGTCTGTCAGCTAAGATAGACGTGATAGGTCGAGTCACATTTTTCACCTTCATTCCGAGATGTAACTTACGGATTGCTGTCTCGGATATGTAGGATCGCGTGGATCCTGAGTCCAAAAGTGCACCTACGCGTGTATGTGCAATCTCTACGCCCGCGAGTAGTAGGTCACCCTTAGACTTTCTTAGCCCACGAGCTTCGTAATGCTAACAACTCGTTACCAAGCTCGTCAAGAGAGTCGTCCAGAGAGAGTACATAAGACAGTTTCAGGGTGTTCCAGTCGATGCATCGAAGAAGAACCATCCTCTGCCATGCGAGTCGATGGGTTGGAAGGGGTCGTAGGCGCCTTACCTTCATCTTGGTCCAAACCCTTTGACTCAGTAGGAGCAGATGCTACTCCTACTGGAGGCTCGCTTTTGGGTTACGGACTAACGGGCACCATGCAGTCACATGCCCTGCAGTACCACACTTCAGGTACTGCGCGTTATTCATCTGCTCATGCCAGGTTTCTTGTGACAATCCCATCTTTTCCCATGGCTTCTCGACCGCAATTCCGGGATGCTCGGGAAACGAGAGTTGTCTCTTCTTCTTCACCGGTGGTCGTGGTTCTCCCTTGTTGACCACTGCAGTAGTGATTTCCCCCTTCCCAGAATCACTGCCGCTTGCCACACGCTCGGCCTCCAATCACCACTTCTCCATAGTATCGTCGTCAAAAAGGACGAGGGTGTGGTCCTCGCGCTTTTGGTGCCAAAGTACCCGCTTGCCTGCACCTGCAACAGATACATACAAATTCTTTGCCTGAGAAGTCATTTGCTCTCGTTGGAGAGCTAAATCACGAAACTGCCTGTAATTGTACTTGCCAGATTTGGACTCTGCCACGAGTTGTCCCCGGATGGGCTTGGGCAGAGCGCGGTAATAAATATACAAGACTTGGTCGTCTGCAGGTTCGAACCAGGAACTTGCAGCAACCAATCCACTTCCCGAGACAAGGCCTCTACCGAGGTCCAATGTTTACCCATCGATACTCTGTTCGATGAATGTGTTTGAATCCTTCGATGAGCTAGAGGAGTGGTATAGATCAGACCCGCTAGCTGTTCGGACGGCTATGGCCAAGGCCCCTAAGGGTGAGTTGTTCGTCGGCGAGATAGTCATCGGCGGCCGCAAGGCCGGGGCCTATTATGACACTTGCTCAACGAGGAACTTTATCAGTCGCGCGTGCATTGAGAGGCTGCGCTTACAGGGGCAAGTGCAGCGCCTGAGTCGACCAGTGGAGTCGACCTGTGCCAACAAACAGCGCATGGTAGTCAATGACTACCTCCAGGATGTTGATTGTTATTTCCCGTACGTGGGAGGGGAACTGAGACACCAAGTCTCGTTCCTAGCGATGATCTCCCAATGGACATCCTGTTGGGTATGTACTATCTTTCGGTTGCACAACCCCTGTTTGACTGGGACAGAAAAGTGGTCAAACACACTTTGGCCGAAGGTGGGACCGTCAGATTACGTAAGTTTAAGGCTGGTAGTCTTGTCGAGTCCTACGGATGCATGTGTGAGGCCGCGTTCTATAATTACTATAAGCAAAATCCGGAGGAGGGTATGTATCTACAGCAGGCGAACCGGTGAAAATGTCGTCGGAGATAGAGGGAGTAGTCACTAAATACCCTGGTCTATTCGAAGAGCCGAAAGGGGTTGTTGAGAGGGAGGTCGTCCATGAGATAGAGATTATCCCAGGGTCTAGTATTCCAAAGGGTAGGATCTCTCGGTTGTCTCCAGCGGAACTCGATGAGCTTTGCCGACAGCTAAAGAAACTCAGAGAAGGGTTGGATCCGGCCCAGTGTTTCCCCGTACGGATCTCCAGTCCTATTTGTACCAAAGAAGGGGGGGGGAACCTAAGGATGTGCATTGACTACAGGGGCCTGAATGCCATCACTGTCAAGAATAGAGAGCCCGTACCGCGCATCGACGACTTGTTGGACCGAGTGCAAGGGTGTCGGTACTTCACTAAGATAGATCTGAAGTCCGGGTACCATCAGATTGCAATACGGCCTGAAGATCAACACAAAACCGCTTTTCAGACCAGGTACGGTCTGTACGAGTTTGTGGTGATGCCTTTCGGCCTTTGCAATGCTCCTGGCACCTTTCAACATGCCATGAATCGGGATCTTTCATGACTACTTGGACAAGTTTGTCATCGTGTACCTCGATGACATACTTATTTTTAGTAGGACTGTCGAGGAGCATGTTGCGCACTTAGACAAAGTCCTCAGTCTCCTTCGGCAGCACAAGTTCAAGATCAACTGTGAGAAATGCGAGTTTGGTCGCACCCGGATCTTGTACTTGGGTCATGAGATTTCCGTGGAGGGTTTGAAGCCCGATGACACGAAGGTGGCCAACATTTGTGACTGGCTGCGTCCTCAGTCTGTGACTGAGATGAGGTCCGACTTAGGGATGACCGACTACTATCGCAATTTTGTGAAGAACTATAGCATAGTTGCCGCCCCTTTGACGGGAGTGTACAGACATGTGTGAGGCTGCTTTCAAACATTTGAAGCATGCTTTGACACACCATGAGGTCTTAAAGCTTCCAAATCCTGGCAGGCCGTTTATAGTCACCACGGATGCTAGCCAGTATGGCATAGGCGTTGTGCTCGCGCAACAGGAGGGGCAAAAGTTGAGGCCTGCCGAGTACATGTCCAAAAAGATGCCCTCTCAGAAGTTGGCTAAGTCCACCGATGAGAAGGAGCTTTATGCGATCTACAAAGCACTCACCCACTGGAGGCACTATCTCTTTGGGAGGTTCTTCTACGTCAGGACTGATCATCAGACCCTGAAGTGGATGAGAACCCAACCAGTGCTCTCAGATGCGTTGAAAAGATGGATTGAAGTCATTGAGCAGTATGACTTCGAACCCCGGTAGATCAAGGGAGAATACAACCGAATTGTTGATGCGCTGTCGCGTAGTCCAGACTTTTGCGGTGCACTGATCACTGAGTTTGGTCTTGCGGATGATGTCACTCGTTCTTTGGTGGAAGCCTATCACGAGGATCTGTTTATGGCTGAGATCATACGCAGACTCGAGGTGAAGGACAAAGCTACTTTTGCCGAGTTTGAGTTGGTCAACGGCCTGCTGTTCCTTGAGAAGGCCGGCGATAAGCGTTTGTGTGTTCCTAATAGAGAGTCTTTGCGTAGTTTATTTTTAGGCGAAAGTCATGATGCCACCAGACATTTTGGTTTCAAGAAGACTGCAGCGATTCTGGTGGCCCGCGATGATGAGAGATGCCAAACTGTATGTCGAGACTTGTCAAGTTTGTCAATGTGACAAGCCCCGGACACAGGCTCCTCTTGGGTTGCTCAAGCCCCTTCCCATTCTAGAAAGACCTGGTGAAAGCCTGTCCATGGACTTCATGGATACGTTAGTCACCAGCAAGAGTGGCATGAGGTACATCTATGTCATCGTGGACAAATTTAAGTATGCTAGATTAGTAGCTATGCCGGAAACAGCAAAGACCGAGTACATTATCATGTTATTTAAGGAAACTGGGTTAGAGACTTTGGCCTGCCGAGGTCTATAATCAGCGATAGGGATGTCCGATTCACCAGTGAATTGTGGAAGGCCGCAGTTGTCGAACAAGGAACGCAGCTGCAGATGACATCTGGAAACCATCCGGAGGCAAATGGGCAGGCAGAGCAGATGAACCGCGTTGTTCAACACTTGTTGAGGCACTACATTAAGCCTAATCAAGTGGACTGGGATGAGAAGTTTGCTCTCATAGCCAGCTTGTACAACAATGCAGTTCATTGTGCCACGGGAGCAAGTCCTAACAGCCTACTATTAACGTTCAAACCTAGAGTTCCCCTTGACTTTCTGCTACCTGAGAACCAGCCCACTGCTGCTCCAGGCACTTTGGAATTTGCCTATAGATATGAGAGTTATATGCAGCAGGTGGTAGAACACATGCACAAAGCACAGGCGGCGATGATCGAATCTGAGAACAAGCACCACCACCCATCTATGTTTCAGGTAGGGGACAGACTCTGGGTCAAGGCTTCTGAACTGGGACAGAAGCACGGGATCTCCTGTAAGCTCATGCCACAGTACTTTGGGCCATGGGAGGTTCTGGATGTAATCGGGGATGAACCAGACAGACCCTCACATGTCATTCAGATCCCTGGACACCTTCGTACCTATCCTGTTTTCCACGCCTCCAAGCTTGCACCTTTCGAAGAAACTGATCAGTTTCCCTTACGACGCTCAATGTTGCCCCCAACCATGGATGGAGAGGTCGACATCGATGACATCGTGGACCACAGGGAAATGACGGTTCCAAGACCGACAGGCAAGGGTCGTCCTCTGAAACCGAAGCTGCAGTACCGAGTTCGGTTCAGACATCCTGATCCAAAGGAGGATAGATGGTTCACACGGGAGGAACTCATGCAGACCGCTCCACAAGTTGTCGCCCACTATGAGAAGTTGCTGCAGAAAGGAAAGCGCCAGATTGAATGAACTTCTCAGAGGACTAGCAAAGTATGGAGGAGGGAATGTGAGGCACAATGCCTCGATACGCCCTACTGGGCCCTATTTTCAACACAGTCGGCCGCCCTAAGTGAAGGCAGGCTCGACTGAGGCCTACAGGCCATTTTGGGGTCACCGCGCAACTGGGAAAATTCAGGAAGTTGCGCAGCGCCAGTTGGTTGGAAGCGCCCAGGCCCAGGCTGCCCTTTACGTGTGTAACTGGGGCAGGCCCTGGGCCGGATACACAGCATGGACCGAACACAGGCTGAGGGTGGTTGCGGGATCTTCTCGGTCACCTTCTTATTATGACACTTGAATTAGTTATGGCCGTATTGACCACAACGTATGCAAGGCCTGCCATGTGTACCGATCTCTCCACACGTCCTCTGTGAGACCCGCCTTCTCCCATGGGGGAGCGTTGGGGTCAAGTTGACTCCTTGACCAGGAGCCTCCACGGCGTCTACCGGTCGCCTTACCTTTCTGAGCTACGGCAGCGACAACTCCACCCCCTGAAGCTTCAATGCTGCCAGCCTCTGAACCTACTCCCTCCTGGAAGTTGTCGTCTAACTCGATGGTTGAACCATCGTTATCGACAAACATAATGCGACCTTTCGCCTTCCAGTTGGGAGGCAGTGACTTTCTCCTACCATCCGTAGTGGGTGCCTGCCCCTGCCCTATCTTCGCCTCAAGGTCTAGGGCCTTCTTGCTAAACGAGGGAAAGTTGTGAACATTGATGTTGGCCTCACCTGCCAACTGATTCTTGAGAGGCATAGGAAAGCATCTCAGGTAGGAGGTGAGTAAAACCTGGGGGTCATAGCGCACTCCAGGGACACAGATCAGACGCTCTACAACGTCGGTGGCCTCCCTTACTGACTTGAGCTGCCTCGTGTGCCGTGTCAGGATCGCATTAGTGGCCTTTTGGGCCTCTTGAGGATCATGCCATCTTTCTTCCGCCAACTTGAGGAAGTCATCCAATTGCTGGGTGACCGCCCAAGCACAAAAGTCATGACTGTATCCCTATAGTTGTACTAAACCACTCAACCATCTTGCTGCACTACCCTCTAGGTAAGATGCAGCCACAAGCACTTCCTCTTGCGGCAAGGTGAGTTTACACTTGATATAAACCGGCACTGCCCTCAACCAAGTGTCGAGGTCTTCGCCCCTCTTATCCCCTGTGAAGGGTTTAGGAGCGGCGATGGTGATCTGGGCGGGCCCGGCTGGTAGCCAAGGTTGTGACATGGATGACAATAAATATTTGACTTGCTGGCAGTTTCCCATAAGTTCAAGCCGTTTCTTCTTTTTTCTTTTTTCATTAAACCAGCACTACCTCCAAGCCTCTTTTTGCCGAGGCGGAAAACAATTGTGCGCCAGGCTTTGCCGAAGTGCCATTGCGACATTTCGTTTTTTATTTGACTGGCGTTGCCAGCCATTTTGGTCCGGTGGCGCCCGGTCTCCCAAGAATGCAGCATCGGTTATATCGCATCCTTAGGACGTTTCGTGTGAAAGGTAGTGGTGGTTTAGAGGGGGTTGGCTCTTAATATTACTGTATCCATGAGGTTTTGAGCTCATCCGTGTGCACGGCTATGTGTGCACCGTTCAGCCACAAAGTCTTCTGGGGTCACAAGCCATTCCTTCTTGCGAGTTGTACACTTTTTTCTTTTTTCTTTTCTGCGTCTGTCAATTGTGAACGGTTCGCATGCTCGCGCTTCTACCTATTCTGTCACTAACTCAAATTTCAAGCAGTTGTGATGAAAACTCCGCTGCATGCGGCCGGGGTACCGTCTTCCCCCGAACATAACGCACTCTGATTGTGAATGTATACGAGCCATCTTTCCAGTTTGATGAAGTCAGGGGTGCGTTGTGTTCATGGGGAAGACGGTAGTGTTACAGTCTGCAACCTCACACGGGCCTCCACAGGCCCGACACACCGGTTCAGGGGTACCCAGGCCGGCCTCGCCAAAGGCCAGGCCTTTTTCCTTCCGGTAGGCCCTATTAGGCCGCCGGTTGGGCCCCAGCGCCACCAGTCCCAGGTTGGCCCAATCGACGTGACCGTTTGGGCCTGGCGGCGCTCTTGAGGCTGCCGCCCGCCGGTCTGGGCTGAAGGGCCATTTCAATGGTTCGGCCCACGGCGCAGGAGGCCAGCATTGAGGCTGACCGGCTGCCGGACGGTACTTAGGCCGGTCCAGCTGCCATTCCTGCAGGTTGGAACGAGGGAGCAGTGAGAGGCAGCGCTGCGCTATTTCGGTTGAGCGCAGCACCAGGAACGGCAGCACTAGTTTAGCGCACTGCAGTTTAGGAGGAGCGAGGAGGAGCGAGGGGACTTACCTGCGACCGTGGAGCCATAGCTCCCGCGACCTGCAGCAGATCTCCCTCCACATGCCAAGGCGCCAGCTTGTTACCTGCAGGTTTGGCCTGAGGCCCTCCTCCGCTTCCCACCTCTACCTCTCCACTTCATCTCCATCTTCCTCTTCTTCATCTCCATCTTCTTCTTCATCTCCATCTTCTTCTTCTTCAGACTTCTTCTTCTTCTTCAGACCTCCTTTGCTTCTTCTTCAGATTGGAGACTGATACGAGTTGGACAGAGATCAGTGTTGGACTTCGGTGGTAAGAGGCTGTGATACTTACCGGATTCGAGACTTGGAGATAGCTGGGATTGATACTCGGCGGCATCACAGATTGGACACCGATTACATTAGGACTCTGTATCTCCGACATTGGTGACCTATTGTCCATGACATTTGGATCTTGTTCGATGACATTTTGGACTACCATATAAGTGACCTACTGGATTCTATCTCGGTGACATCTGACGCTGCCTATACGTCCCACCTCTATCGTCTCTCCTCCCACCTTCATCTGTGTATGGTTGTACGGGGCCTGAGCACCGTCTACGATTGGCTCAGACCCCACCATCTCACGATTGTTTGTGTGTTGAGTGATATCTGTACGAGTTCAGTCTAGGTGAGTCAGTTCATTTCTCAGACTTCCGCTGCATACATGCTCATCCTTTATTGGTTGATCTTTGGTTCTGCCCATACTTGTTGAAGTATTCACGACATACTTGCAAGCCGATGTTGTCGGCGTGGTTCAGCACGTGCGTCGGACCGCCGGACCGGACCCGAGCGGCGCACGAGTGTAGGCCCGACGAACATTTACCCCCCATCCCCCCCCCCAAAAAAAAAAACGGGGGTCGAAACGGCAGGTCCGAGGCCCCTTTGGAAAAATGCGGCCGGTGCTGCCAAAAAAGTTTTTGGGCCTTCGCTCAAGCCCGGACCGCCTTGGGGTTTCAAAATTTGAAAGCCGCTCCCTCCACATGTTGTAGTGGTAGATTGGTTCGATTTTAGTCATCCTGTCGATGGAAGTACCCCCCC